CCCGCCCCCCGCCACTCGAAAACTGATGGAAAAGATTCCGAATCTGATGAAAATTCTAAACCCACACGTCCAAAACCAATAAACCCCAAGCAGGGTAAAAACAGAGAAAACATACCAAGGCACATCATAACCAAGTGGCTTGGAGCTAGTGATCACATCTCAAACGCACCTAGAGGGAAAAAGGACCTATACAGGGGGACAAGGACAGGGATGACCGCCACGTGCCCGGCGGAAAGGCTACAAACCGGAAGACAAGGGGGTGACGTCTTCAAGGCAAAGAAGGAAAAACCTGTCAACCTAAAAGTCTATATCCAGCAAAAGTACACGTAAAAAAAATGAAGGCAAAATAAGATATTTTCAGAAGACAAAAGCTGACAGAACTTGTCCTTGGCAGACCCGCTATAAAGTATACGATGCAGGACAATGCGTGGGTCGCAGGGTACAAGATGTAAACTTGCAATGAAAATAGAAAATAGAAGAGCTTTTCTCCTAATGTTAAAATGTCATTAAGAAATCACTGTTTAAAGTAAAAACAATTATTAGCAGTAAACACTAGCACAAAGCACAGGCAGGAGAAATGAAAGAATATTGTAAATTTCTTACAAATTTCTTATACTGTATGTGAAAATAACACAGTTAAAGATATACATTGTAAAACAGAGCAACAAAGAAACTAAACAAATATGTACAGCAAATACTCACCGCCCCCCCAGCCCCCCCAAAAAAACAGGAAAATGAAGACAAAGAATACATGGGACAGACAGAAAACAGCAGGATGGGAGATTTAGAATCAGTCCCATTGACATTAAATGTAGAGCAGATCAGGTCCCCAGTTAAAAGACTATTCATCGGGCTGTGGCCATGCCGCCCAGCACAAGCCCGACCCTGCTCAGTACTCAGACGGGAGACCGCCTAGGAAGATCAGGTGCTGTAGACGTAAAAATAAAAAATAAATAAAATAAATAAAAATTTAAAAAAGACTATTCGTCAGTCTGGATAAAAAAGCAAGACATGATATAAACTGCCTACAGGAAATAGTTTAAGTATACTGATACAGATAGGCTACAAGAAAAATCACACCAAGGAAATACTAATCATAAAACTAGAATAGCTATATTAATATGAGTCAGGTTTTAGGTTTTAAAAAATACCAGGTAATATAAATGTCTACTATGCTGTACACCTGAAAATACTATAACACTGAATGTCAACTCTAATTGAAAAAGAAAATACCAGAAATAAAGACAGATACTTTTAAATAGCAAAAGGGTCAAGAAAACATAATTCTAAATGTGTATGAACCCCAAAACAGAGCTGTAAATGCATAAAGTAAAAGTTGACAGAATTGAAGGAGAAACAGATAAATCCACAATTATAATCAGTGAATTCAACACTCCTCTCTCAGTAATAGATAGAAAAGTAAAATCAGTAAAGATATAGAAAACTTGAACAAAACTATTAGACAACTTGACCTGATTGACATTTATAGGACACTACACTCCCACCCCCGCCTGCCACCAAGGCAGAATGCATAAGGACACATAGAACATTCACCAGGATGAACCATAAAACAAGCCTAGAATTTGAAACAACTGATGACATACAGAGCATGTCACTTGGTGAGGGTATGCAGCAACTGGGGCCCTGACACACTGGGGCAAGGGTGTGACATGAATCAGTCTGGAGAACTTTTTGGCAATTTCTTGTAAAGTTAAACACGCTTATAACTCAGCAATTACATTCTTAGCCATTTACCCAAGAGAAATAAAGAGGTATGTCCAAATAAACACTTTTACACAAATGCTCGTAGCAGTTTTATTCATGAGCCAAAACCGGAAACTCAAATTTCTATCAACAGACGAGTCTCATCGTGCGCTGGTTCATCCACACAGTGGCGCACGACTCGGCAGAGCTACTGCGACAGGTAACTACACTTGGCTGAATCTCTGAAACATGCCGAAGTGAAAAGTAAGACACACAAGGCTACGTGTTACGCATCCATGTCTATGAAGTCCTAGAACAAGCAAACCTAATCTAAACCCACAGGGAGGGGTTACTTGGGGCTGGGGTGGGATTAACTGCAAAAGGGCAAAAGAGAACGTTTTGGGGTGACAGAAATGTTATTTTCTTGACTCTGATGGTGGTTACACTGATGTATAGATTTGTTAGGACTCTGCACGTTTAAAATAGGTGTTTACTGTAGAGAAGAAACTGGACCTCGACAGAGGTAGCTGTGGCCTGGTGCCACCTGCGGCCACACCACTTTGTGCGGTGAGCGCTCCAGACAGGACACTCCATGTCCTTTTTGAATTACCCCCTCACGGCTTCTAGGCTTGCCGGAATTTCTTAAGAACTCTAAATTTAATGTCTTCATGGGCAAAAAAATTGACATAATTTAAAAACTGGGTGTTTGGGTTAATTTTCAGAGAAAAGACTTCAGAGGCGACACTGAGCGTCCTGATGGACAGCTGCCCACTGCGCGAGGAGACCCGGCGCCCGCCTGGCTCCGCCGGCCGCAGCGCCCACCGTCCTGCAGACGCCCTCCCAGCTCTCCTCTCGCTGTCGCGTGTCTACTTTGTAGACCAGCTCGGTGCCGCCTCCTCTGCGAAGCCGTCCCGGTCCCCCCAGGCTGCGTCCATCAGCTCCTCACCCGGGGCGTGCTGCGACTTCGACGTGCCGCTCGGTGTGCCGTCATCTGTCTCCCTGTCAGACTTGGAATGACCTCAGGACGATGGGGTCTTCCTCATCTCTGTCCCCCAGTCCTCGACACTAGTCTTTACAGAGCAGCACGTTTTCAAGTAAATGACAAAATGAGCCAGAGAGCAGAGAGTGACAGGAAGTGTCGAGTCCAATTCACGGAGCTAAGACAGAAAAGTCGTGTTGTGCACTGGGACTGTGCGCCCACTGGGCGAACCAGAGACACACGGACAGCTGAGTGAAGGCCACCCTCCCCAAAGCAAGTGCACGGTCACAGGTCGCATGTACGCGGGCGCTGGCCTCACACTGGCCATCGCCCGCTATGTGTGGCCTAAGTACGAGCAGGAGGCATCGACAGGGCTGCGAGAGGAGGCATTTCCAGCAGACCGGTAGATTGTACTTTACAAAACAGCAGAATCCAAGTTTGAAAAACAGCAGTACAGGAAGGACAGGCGAGGTGGCAGTCACACATGGGCTCGGGGTGTGCATTTTGTTCTGCACTAGATGCCTGGGACGCACCAATCAGATAGGACCGCTGTCCTTCAGGAATTAAAGGTGTAATAATGATAATATATAAGAACATAATTCTGATGTATCGAAAAGTAAGTGCAGTGCCAGAGGTGAGAACTGCGTGACCGGCATGGGGGAGGGGGACGTGACGCTGAGACCGGGTATGACTCAGGCTGCAGAGCTGAGCGGAGAGGAGGGGAGAGCACTCGGACAAGACAAAGGCCTGGCGGCAGGGACGGCGTGGTCACGTGGGAACGTCAGTTAGTGTTGCTTTGGTGCCGTGTGGCAGGGAGTCGAGCGGCGGGACACAAGGCTCCGGGAAGCAAAAGGCCTTAGGACGCAGGAGCAGGAGCTCAGGATGTACCCTACGGACCACAGGGAACCCACCTGTGGTTTTCAGAAGGAAAGAATCTTTCTTCCATTTGCCTTTCTGATAGGGCGAAATTCGCTACGTAATTCTCTTTTAAGTAATAGGATTAGATACCCCGTTCTCCTTCGAAGGGATTTAACTCAGGGATGAATTGCAATTGTGCAATTCATCCTGCCCCCAACTATTCCAGCTCCGAGTCCGCTGTCCATTCCTAGGTGCAAAGCGGTAGGTGGCAGCCCGCGCGTGGCTGCAGCAGCCCCATCCGTGACCTTGGGAAATGCTGGCATGTCCAACGTCACACGAATTAGGGCTCACGCCACGCCCTCCCATACGTCACTCGTTGAGTTGGAGAATAATTGTTTTTTTACGAGCTGTCTGGACGCTCCCCCTGGCCTGCGGACTTCTCCCCGGAATGTCCGGGGGCCGGACTCAAGCACAGCGCCCCCTGGTGGACGCCCTCGTCGCTTCTCAAGTCGGGGCTCGAGCTGAAGTCCCGCCCGTACTGACCACAGTCATAGAGTTTCTCCTCGCTGTGAATTTTCTGGTGTTGGAGGAAGTTTGACCTCTGGATGAAGCCCTTCCCGCAGTGCCCGCACACGTAGGGCTTCTCCCCGGTGTGCACGACCTGGTGCAGGAGCAGCTTGGAGCTCTGGATGAAGGCCTTCCCGCAGTCCTTGCACTCGAAGGGCCTGTGGCCGGTGTGGATCTTCTGGTGCTCCGTCAGGTGGGCTTTCTGGAGAAACGCCTTCCCGCACTCCTTGCACTCGTACACTCTCTCTCCGGTGTGAATTTTCTGGTGCCGGATGAGGTACGAGCTCAGGAAGAAGGCCTTGCCGCACTCGGCGCACTCGTACAGCTTCTCCCCGGTGTGGATGCGCTGGTGCTGCGTGAAGTTTGACGTCTGGCTGAAGCGCTTGCCGCACTCGCCGCAGACGTAAGGCCGCTCGCCGGTGTGGATGCGCTGGTGCTGGATGAGCTTGGAGCTGCGGATGAAGGCCTTGCCGCACTCGGCGCACTCGAAGGGCCGCTCGCCGGTGTGGATGCGCTGGTGCTCGATGAGGTCGGAGCGGTGGCGGAAGGCCTTGCCGCACTCCTGGCACTCGTACTGCCTCAGCTCCGTGTGCACCTGGTAGTGGCGCGTGAGGCTGGAGCTGCGGATGAAGGCCTTGCCGCAGGCGCTGCACTCGTACGGCCGCTCGCCGGTGTGGATGCGCTGGTGCCGGATGAGCAAGGAGCTCTGGCCGAAGCCCTTGCCGCACTCCTTGCACTCGAAAGGCCGCTCCCGGGTGTGCACGCGCTGGTGCCGCGCCAGGTCCGAGCTGTGCCAGAACGCCTTCCCGCACTGCGCGCAGCG